TAAATTAAAAAGAGATAATTATTAAATAAATGTAAGGTTGCACTTATAAAAAAATGGTTTATTTATCTTATTCGGTAGGGCATAGAAGGAGTTATTATTGAGTAATAATTACTCCTTCAGTCAAATTTAGTTGTAATACTTTCTAAGTAGGGTGGTGTTATTTAATTGTCCCATTTTCTATTTTAATGATACATTAAATACTAATATTTTATTTTTATATTTAACTCAAAAGAGATAAAAATGTATTATGATTTTTTTAATTATCAGTATTAGGGGGTGTTCACATCTGATCCAATCTAGTTGATTTGATCTAAACTAATCTAATCTAATAACAAACCAAATCAAATTGATATAAAATTAGATTGGTTTGGATTATAAAATTTTAAAATTGATATAATTTGTTTGGTTTGTGGTTTTACCTTCAAACTGCCCGAATCATTCGATTACAAAATAAAATCTGATTACAAAATAACTTAATTAAATAATATATTATATACTTGTAATATTTAAAATTTTTTAATTTTATAAGATGATAACTCCTTTAACTTAATTAAAAAATAAAAATAAAATATCCTCATATTCTCTAATTTATTTTCTTTTCTAAATCGTGCACTCTAATCTTAATTCTAAATTTTCAATTCACTTGGAACTCTATTACTTATAACTAATCAACTAATCAACTAATCTACTACTCTACTTTTAGAACTCTAAATTGATAATTTGTTCTTAAAATAATATTCTGATTTTCTTAACTAAACTTTAAGAAATATTATTTTAGAAGTCATAAAAATGTATAATAGAACTAATTTTGATATTCTACTATTCTTGGATATTTGGTTGAGGAGTTTTAAATTTTAATTATGAATGTTTATAATCATTCCTAATGAATTTTATTTGATTTTAACAAGGTTCGGAAGATGGGATTGAATTATTTGATGCATTAAGGGAAAAAAATTAGTTTTAACCTTTAAGAATTACTTGTAATGTATTTAAAACTTAGAGTCATTTTTTATTATTTTTTGGTGCCTTTATTGACGTAGTCAAGAAGAATTTTTAGATCTTTTCAATCTTTACAATTGTAAATGAGTATAAGAACTTGTTTATAATTTGTGCATTTTATTATGTTTTTAGTAATTTAGATATTAATGTATTTTATAGTTATATCTACTTAATGTTAAAATTTTTTGTATTATCTCATATATTTAATAGTATTAAAACCCAATCAATTCTATTGAACCACACTAATATGATTTAAGTTGAATTGGTTTGGTTATGATATAATAGTGGATTGGATTGGTTTAAAAATTTTACTAATCAATTAAATTGGATTGACTTAAAAAATATTAAAATTCGAACTAAATCACATTGCAAATACCCCAAATAAGTACAAAAACATTATAATTACAATGCTATGTAACTTGTAAATTTACAATATGATATTTCGTTACATAATTAACTCTTTTTATTTAGGACTCCACTTGTGATCTTGTAAAATTCATTTGTTTAATCTCATGTTATACTTATTTAAAATCTTGTCATAATTGTAAATTTACAATTTTATGTGATATTATTACTATAACATTGTTATTATAAATAAGTGTGAAATGCAAAGATAAATCCAAATTATTATAATAAATGAATTTCTTAATAATTGTAAATGGATAAAGTTGAACAACTAAATCATATAAGAAGAAGTACTACTTTTTATCTTAAAAAAATGAAATTGACTTTTATTTTAGCTATAAATGCCACGCGGTAGTTTTTCTATTAGTTTATTTTAAATTAAAAATAAAAAATTATCCTTTTAATTCAAAATTCTATTTTTTTAAAATACAATTATTATTTAATAATTATTTCTTATCATGTGCCTTAAGACTCAAATCTTGAACTTGATCTTTAAAAAACAACACTGAATTATTTATTTCTATTTAACATTATTATGGTTTCCAGTTGTAAAAAAAAAAAAAGACTATGATTTTTGGTTTTTATAAATTTTAAAATAATTAAAAACTAAAACTAAAAGTAAAAGTAGACAGTTTATTTAAAACAAGTTTTAATACTAAAATAAAAAAATGTACTTATTTAATTATTTTTTATTTTTTATTTATGTTTCTATAATAATCATAATAATATATTTGTAAAAACAAAAACAAATTCTTTAAGTTTCGAAATTTATAAAAAATAAAAAATAATAAAAAAATCAATATTAACCAAAAGACTTGGTAAGGGTGTTGTTGTCATTTCATTATCCAACCAATATTAACCAAGGCTAGAAACCCTCTACCAAACAGGTCCTTTAGTAATACTTTAATATATCAATTATATAATTATAATATCAAGTAAAATTATAAATTAATATTAAAATATTAAAAAAAAATATTTTACAGTTTGAATTAATTTAAATTGTAAAATACTAATCATTTTATGGAAAATTAAGTCTCTTGACATTATGGATTCTTGCCTCATAATTCATATTTTACAATCCAAATTAATTTAGATTATAAAATAGATTTTGTTAAAATATATCATTAAATTAATATTAATGTGAGTGAATCAATAAACAAAAATAATAAATTATATAATAATATATCATAATTGTAAAATTATAATACCATATATAATATTATAAATTATATTTTTTTTGTACAACAAAATGCACTTAATTGTTAGGTGAATTTTTTTTTTCTTTTGATAAGTGGTAAATTAATTTTTTGAAGCAACTACCAAAGCCAACTGATAATTCAATTCATAGATATAGGAATTTTAGGTGGAGGCAACGCAGTGGAGTACTAACTAGATGTAGCATGACCCTCGGCAAGTTGGCGATACCTATACTTCTCAGACAGAGAGAGAGAGAGAGAGAGAAGGTTATGAAAAAATTTTTAATGCAAAAGATTCTGGGAATTAATTAAACAAAAGAGGGGAAATCTATTTATTTAATAAGATCTCGTTCATTAGTTGATCCATCATCCATTGCATACTCTCAAACCGAACGTCAAGTGGAATAAAAATAAAGTATTGGTTGGGTCAGAGTTAATATGGTAGCTAGGAATTTAGGATTGAAATGTAACATTAAACAATAATCATATAATAAATAAATATTATAAATAAGCTAATAGTTCTATTCTTTATATATATATATATATAGAATTTTTTTTCAGTACATGGGAGTTATTTAGAACTGCAGAAATTTAAATATTTAACTTTAATTACAAATCAAAATTTTGTTATGTTAATAGATTTAAGCTAAACTTTTGCTGGAAAATATAAATAGAGAATATCACAACAGAAAATAAAAGTTAATTCTTGGAGTAGCAAGTCTCTACAAGATCAGCTATACATATAAGCTTTTACATTTGAAAGATAATCATATAAAATAGTAAAATTAAAAGAGTGGACACCCCTACTTAGGGAGTCAAAGGTTCTATTGCTTGAATTTTATTGAATTCTATTTAACTTTAATCGATTTGTTTGTGCTATGAAAATGTGATATATCAAAGGTAAGTTAGGCAACGACTTAAGTAATTCAGTAATAATCTCTTTTCGTTGAAAATAAGAGATCTTGAGTTCGACTTACATGGTATGCGAGTGAGGTGGGATAAGAGATGTGAGACGGTTGTCTCCTGTTATGCAATCAACATAAGAAAAAAAAAAGAGGTTGATGTGAATCTTGGGTTATATCGTCAAGATGTATTGGGATTAACTTGTTTGCACATTAAGAATAGTTCTTCTCAAATAAATTTAAGAAAAATAATTTCTTAATAATATTTATTGATAATGAAATCTTAGGTAAAACATAAAATAATGTAGCACAAATCATATCAATTGTTTTGATTTGAGATAAAACACATGCTATAATATGTATTTACTAATTTGAAACATTTAAAATTAGTCGTTTATTTGTTATTTTAAAGTGTTATTTATTATATTTATTTATATTTTGCCCTTTAAATATTTAAAAAAATTACAAAACATATTATTACTCATTTAATTGAAGATAAATATAAAATTTTATTTATTAATTATTATATCTTTATTTTATTGAAAAAAGTATGATAATTAAATTTGAACAAAGATTAATTTTAATTTTTTCTTGTGCTCTAAGGGATGTCTTAGTAATTATAAGTTTGAGTTTCTATATTAAAAATTTTAAGTTCAAATTATGAGATATAGTGAGAAGGGATTTGGGAGGGGAGAGTAATTTTTATTGTACAGACCATCATTGATATAAAATAATAATTAAAAAAAAAAACTTTTTCTTTACTTAACTTCTTAATTTGGGACCCACTTAATATTTTTCCACCAAAATTTCCAATATTTTGAAGTAACCAGCTTTCTTAATATTAGCTTCTTATCAAATATAGAAAAACTTACCATTCTAACAAAATTTTATTACAAAATTTATAAATTCATCATGCAGTCCTTTTTCAATTATTTTTTCAAAAAAGACTTTCTCCACAAAAATTGACCTTTTAATTAAGGGTTTTCTAATAAAATGTATTTATTATATATTTTTATTGTTAATTTGTATAAAAAATTATAAAAATAAATTTTATTTTTAACACTAATATCACTTGAAATATTTTAATTAGATGATTTTTTTTTTTTGAAAATTTGAATTAGACAATTAACAAAAATTAAAATCAACTTTTAATTTAATATTAAATTAACAAAAAAAATACAATAAATACATCTTTAATGCCATAAAGATGCAAATTAAAAAAAATTCTTTTAATCAAATATTGCCCTAAAGTTGACTAATGAGGGTTTTTAGCAAAGTTTAAAATGTATTTATTTTTTTAAAAGAAATATTATTCTCTCATTAATTTAAAATTTTATTAAAAAGATCACTTAAAATTAATTTTTAAGTAAATAACTCCAAAATAGTATTTTTTTAAATTCTTTTGATGACATGGCAATATCATGTATTATAAGCTAGTTACGTGGATAAATAAAAATGTCAAATTGCATAAACATTCATATTTTTAATAAAATGAAATAAAAAATAATAAAATTATCTTACTACTAGGTCTCCCTCTCTCAATCCATCTTCTTCCCCTCTTTCTTCCTCTTTGCTCCAATTAAGGTTCAACCTAGCATAATTTGGGTTTTGTTGAACCCAGCTACTAGGTTTAACGAAATCCACTTTTTACATTTTATCAAACCTAGCAAATCTCATCAAATCAAACTAACTCCTTATTCACTTGGTAATAAATAATATTAATAAAACCCTAATTAAATTTCAACATAAATGCAATCAAATTCTAGCAAATCAATTACCAAATTTTGAAAAAACCTACAAAGAACAGATACAACATGCAAATTAAGAACTAAGAATGAAAACCAAAGAACTTAGATTTGTTGGGTTCCATTGAACTAGCTTGTTGGGTTTTATCGAACCTGATTTGTTGGGTTTGAGGGAATCCAACAACTGGGTTTCATTGAACTTGAGCTGGGTTCAATGGAATCTAGATCTACTAGTTTCCTCAAACCCAACAACTGGGTTCGATGGAACCTAGCTATTGGGTTCCATTGAACCCGAGCTAAGTTCAACGAACCCATATTTGCTAGGTTCAAGGAGGTTCAATGGAACCTAAATATGCCGGATTCTGTCAAACCTAGTAAATCTGGGTTTAAGGGAACCCAATAGTTGTTGGGTTCCACCTAGACTTGGTAATTTTTTACTCAACCCGTTAACTCGCTCATTGCTGGCCCGTTTAAAACGGGTTAAGGTCATATATTTATGACCCATGACCCGTTAAGAGAACCCAATGGGTCACAGGTCAATAACGGGTTGACCCATTGGGTTAACGGGTTTGACTTGTTTAAAAATATAAAATTTTTAATTTATTGTTTATTTATTTTGTTTTTCAATTCCCAATCCCACTTAAACCTCTAATAATTGACTAATATTCCCTAATTAACTAATTGATTTTCTTGACTCATCATTTTCTAGAAGTAAAAATAATCTCACTCCACTCATAACTTACCTTCCGACCTTTCTTATTCTTGCTTGCCCTAATACTCTCGAAAACTCTAACTCTTGAAACTTCAAACTCTTTTCATATTCTTCAACTTCCATAGTTTATACAGCTTTTAACTTTCAAGTTTTGACTCCACCTTTTCTCTTTAGTTTTTAACATTATTTTAGACTTAAATCTTAGTTTTATCGAGTCACCGTTGGATCCACTCAGCCTTTTCCTTTTTTCTCCTATGAGTCCGGCAAGTGCTCTTTTTGTCACCAACTTTTCTCTCTAAATATTTCAAGGTAAGTTGTTTACTTATTTATACTTTTTAGTTTTCTTTCCATTCCAAGTAAAAATTTTACTTGATTTTCTCCTTTACTTATTTAGATGCATTCAATTGATTATTCTTTGAAAGCAATGACCAAAACAAATATGTTCCAATGGGGTTTGTGTTTTTTGGTTGTC